CTAGTTAGGTTCAGAAATTGATTTAATTCTAGCAGAGCACAGATGTTATGCGTATTATTTAAATCTGTGTAATTTATTTTCATATCAATATTCAAATGATTTACAATGTATTTTTATAATAAGTATAAAGCATTGGGTGGAAAGCTAAACGAAAGAGATTTTATAATAAAAAAAAAAAGAATCAAAAAGTCGATGCTATGTTATTAATATTTTATAAACAGTAGATATAATGACAACAACGAAGGGTTTTTTGGTCCAGACAACAACGAAGGGTTAAAACAGCAAAAAAAACAGTTCTAAAAATGACTCATGTGCCCCTCTCTATCTCCCGCTAGTCCCTCCGGCTCGGTTTCAGATAAGTCTTCTCTCATCAAGATATTGATCGGTGATTTCTCGGTATGTCAGAAATTATATTATTCACCAGCACTATAAAAAAAACAAAATTCTCCCCCGACAGAGGGATGAATATTTTTGAGCAAATGTTGAGGGTGAGAATTGATTTCGCAACTACTTGCATTCCGAATCTAATCGTAACTATTGAGCCACCAAATTTCATTAATATAAGTAAATTTTTTAGTTTCGACTACATATCTATTATTTACAATTTTCGTGCAAGTATCAACTACATTAACAACTTTCATTTAACTACAATCATTTTTATTTTAAAAAAGCTAATATTAAATTTTAAAAATTGGTAAAACATTAATAAATATTAAGATTAAGTTTAATTATATTTTCAAAAGGATTTTGAGTTTCCGAAAATGATTTTCAATTGAGATCCCATTATGATGAGAATCTAATGTCCGGAGCAAAGTGCCAAAAAGATCAATCCGCACAATAAATAATGCTAGAAAATTAATTTGAGTTACTCCTCTTGTCCTATTTATAATTGTCTCAACCACACAGATCTATTTTCATATTATTAATAATCATAAAAGCCAATTTTATAAATGTTGACTGGTATCAAACACAGAAACATCAACATATATAATGCAAATTACAAAGAGATACATATAAAATAACCTTCTTCACTTTTTTCTCCTTGGTCTTCTTCTGCTACTGCTGCTTAAATTTTTTTTTTTTTGGATTAGTTTGCTCCAACAACCTTATTCCACTTCATAATAGTTAATTAATACTAGTTCATATGCAGGAATATTTCATGGATAGACTTCGATGAGAGATCGCGAACCCAGAGCAGGATGAATCTTGTAATCACTAAAACCAGCAGAATGAAATAACCGGGCCAATTCTTTCTCAGTCCTCTCTTTTCCAGGATACAAAACCATCAACAGCTGATTCTCAACTGATTTATTATGATTGTCTCCAAGTCCTCTTCCAATACCATGTCTATTATAATTAACTTCCCCACTTGCCCTTTGCTTGCGATTGCCTCCTTGCAGTTCTTCAGAATTTTCAGACAGTCCTCATCAGTCCAATCGTGTAGTATCCACTATTTTCATGCCAAGGAAGCAACAACTATATCAGGACACACAGTCTTAATTGAGAACAATAACAAATTAATGAATATAAATCATTTTGTTTCGTATGTACATTCAAGTTATTACCTTCATCAGTATGGCATCGGAAGGAGGAACGGCCTCGAACATGTTTCCTCCCACAAACTTGAGATTAGCATTACCTTGTAAGCCATCGACAACATGTGGGAGATGAAACACAGTGCATTGTATTTCTGGAAAGGTTTTTAGCAATGGCCTTAGCTGTAGTCCCAGTGCCTCCCCCAACATCAACCAACGACTTTATTCCATTAAACACCTCTTTACAACTTTCAATAACCACACTTATGACCAAGCTGGCATCGCTAGCCATAGCTTCATTGAAAGACTTGTTAAAATTAGGTTCCACCTTAGCTTAATCCCAAATCTTCTTCCCATGCGCCATGTGAAACGGCGATGGAGCATTATTTTGGAGCCAATTGGTCAGCTCATACCAAGGTTTTTGCATGGCAGGATCAACCACAGTGAGGAACAAAGGGGCTGCACTTAGAGCCGGGAAAACGGGCCGAGCCCGTCAGGCCGGCCCTTTTAGGCCCTGAAATTATGAGGGCCGGGCTTGATGTTTTTATCTTAAAATGAGAAATAAGCCCTGAAGGGCTGGCCCTGGAGGGCCGAGGGCTTAAAAGGGCCGGCCCTGGAGGGCCGCGGGCCGGCCCTTTTAAGCCATTTTATATTTTTTTTATTTTTTAAATTTTTTTATATAATATTAATGTTATTAATTTTTTACATTGTTAATAATATTTCAAATATTTAGTTATTATTATCATTTTAAAATTAAATTTAGTTTTAGACAATAATTTATCCAATTAAAATTTTAAAAAATGGTTAATTTGGACTTTAATAATGATTTGATTTATTATATGCGTTGATATTTTTAAACTATATATATATATTTGATAATAGAATATTTTTATACTTATATAACTTGTGATTCTATAATTTGAATTAGAAATTCATGAGTTTCAACAACAATGTTTCTCACATTAAAGTAAAATAATAGTTAGATTACAAAATTTAAAAATAAAATTCTTATAAAGAAGAAAAACTTGATATTTTTGTTACGAAAGAAAAGCATACTTATAAAGAAAAATAATTAGTTATAATGATGATGAAGTTTCAAAAGATTAATGATAGTGTTTATTTATTGCACAATTGCATTATAGATAAAACTTTTAGATGTTGTTATCTTGTTAATGAATGTTTTAGATGTTCTTAGATGTTGATGAATATTTATATATGATAATATTTTATATTTGTGACTTAATTTTATTCATATTTATGTCTTTTATTAATAATTTCATTGGTTTATTTTTATACTTTTATAAAAAAATATGATAAATATAAAAAATAGTATTTTTTTCTTAAACGGGCTAAAAGCCCGCGGGCTGGCCCTGACCCTGTAGCTTAAGGGCCGGGCTTAGCAAGTTGGGGTATTTTTAAAATTTCAGCCCTGGAGGGCCGGCCCTTTTAAGCCCGCCAGCCCTGAAGGGCCGGCCCTGGAGGGCCGGGCCAGCCCTGATTCCCGGCTCTAGCTGCACTTAAGGGATGGTCCTTGAGAAGAAGGGTGGATGCATCAGTTAGGACATAGCCTTCTTCTAAAGGGTCAGTCTCTGAAACTTTCTGAAGAGAGAAGAAGCCGGAATAGGTGAGGAGTTAAAAAAAAAAAAAAAAACTCCTCCGACAGAGGGGATGAACATTTTTGGGCAAATGGTGAAGATGAGATTCGATTTCACAACCGCTTGTATTCTAAAATTAAGAGTGATTATTGAGCCACCAAATTTCATTACTACTATATACTAGCTTCGTTTCTAAATATAAAAGCATGGAACTGGACCGATGGAAGGTGAAATCTGGAGGTGTGATTTCGCTGTTCAATCTCTCTGTTTTCTGGTCTCTGGTTCTGTCACGCCGAGAAGAAGAAGAAGGCAAAATCGATGGTGGTAATGGATTTGAGTGGATATGGAAGATGATGGATGGTTTCGTCGAGCTTCCTCCGGTCTCCTCTGTCGCAATCCCCTGGTCCTCTCTCTCTCTCCCCTCACTCTGCTCGCTCACCGCTGCTCCTCTCGTCTCTGTCACGCTTCTCTACCACCAGGAAGAAGACGCGGGGAAGAAGGTGAAGGTGATACTTCGATGGAAGATGAAGATTCAGAGGAGACGGAGATTGGTGACTTCAGTCCTTCATTCTCCCACCGTCGCTGGTCCTCAATCTCCGTCCCCTCCTCTGCTTGTCCTCCCTGTTGCCGTCACTCGTCCCCCTTCCCTCTCAATCCAGACGATGATGATGAATTAGTGTTTTCGGTCAGGGAGCAAAACGCCTTTTATTATTTTTTTCTTCTTTTTTTTTTTTCCTTTTTAATTATATTTTTTTCTTTTTTTATTTTCATTTTATTTTTAAATCTCCCAAAAACCTGTAATCAAAATTTAAGAATAATGTAGTATTAATTGTCTTTAAAGATTAATTAATTACAATTATGACAAATTTACTCCTATTATGCACTAATTCAAGTTAAAGTACTCCAATACCAATTATACTCAAATAATGTAATTAAAGACTAACAATAATGATAAAAGCCCACCAAAAATATATAAAAATGCATGTAAAATGTATGTTTGTTATTGACTAATTTGAATAGATTAAAAAAATAAGTTAAGTTAGATATTTGTAATAAATAGGTGTTATAGTTATTTGTAATAAATAGATGTTGTCTTTTCTAAAATATTCTTACTAATCAAGTATATTATTTAGAACTACTATTATTAAAATGACTACTTTGAAAAAAAATATATAAATATGAGAGAAGTGGATTTAGATATTTTATTTATGACTAAAATAAAAATCAAATGATATCTTATATTAAGAATCAGGGGTAGTATAACTTTATTTTAAAAAGGATTTTGAGTTTCCGAAAATGATTTTCATATGAGATACCATGCATTATGAGAATCCAATATCGGGGGCAAAGTGTTAAAAAGATCGGTCGACACAATAAACGCTAGAAAATTAACTTGGGATATACTCCTTTTTAAGGTTTAGAAAGAAGAACTTTTTCAATACTATTTATAAAGTAGAGATCAATTTTTTCATGAACATAAAATTTTACCATTCATTTATAATTGTATTTAAACTTTTTTTATCTATATAATACATGTTAAAAGTATGTCACAACTACACAGTGTTTTTTTATTATTAATCATAAAAGACAATTCTGTAAATGTTGACCCCTATCAAACACACAAACATTAACATACACGACGCAAATTACAAAGCGACACATATAAAGTAACCTTCCACTTTTTCTCCTTGGTTTTCGTCGTCGTCTTATTTTTTGTTTGCTTTTTTTATTATTTATCATAAAAGACAATTCTGTAAACGTTGACCCGTATCAAACACACAAACATTAACACATACGACGCAAATTACAAAGCGACACATATAAAGTAACCTTCCACTTTTTCTCCTTGGTTTTCGTCTTCGTCTTATTTTTTCTTCTTTTTTGTTTGCTTCAACAGCCTTTGTCCAGTTCATAATAGTGACCTAGTACCAGTTCATATGCAGGGATATTTCATGGATAAACTTCGATGAGAGATCGCGAACCCAGAACAGGATAAATCTTGTAATCACTAAAACCAGCAGAACGAAATAACTGGGCCAATTCCATCTCAGTTCGCTCTTTTCCAGGATACAAAACCATCAACAGCACATCAATCAACAGTTGATTCTCAACTGATTTATTATGGTTGTCTCTCAAGTCCTCTTCCAAAACCATGTCAATTATAATCAACTTCCCACCTTTGCCTTTGCTTGCGATTGCCTCCTTGCAGTTCTTCAGAATTTTCAAACACTCCTCGTCAGTCCAATCATGCAGTATCCACTATTTTCATGCCAAGGAAAGCAACAATTGTTAGAAAACTTAGTCTCAAGAATAATAACGAACGAATGAATATACGAATAATACGAGGTTGAAGAATAAATGTAAACACATCATCGTATTATTATCACCTTCATCAGTATGGCGTCGGAAGGAGGGATGGCCTCGAACATGTTTCCTCCCACAAACATGAGATTCGCAGCATTACCTTGTAAGCCATTAACAACTTGTGGGAGATCAAACACAGTACATTGTATTTCTGGAAAGGCTTTAGCAACGACCTTAGCTGTGGTCCCAGTGCCACCCCCAACATCAACCAACGACTTTATTCCATTGAACACCTCTTTACAACTTTCAATCGCCACATTTATGACCAAGCTGGCATCGCTAGCCATAGCTTCATTGAAAGAGTGATTAAAATCAGGGTCGACCTTAGCGTAATCCCAAATCTTGTTCCCATACGCCATGTGAAACGGTGACGGAGCATCATTTTGGAGCCAATTGGTCAATTGGCACCAAGGCTTTGTTATGACGGGATCGATCATAGCGAGGAAGAAAGGTGTGGCGCTTAAGGGGTGGTCCTTGAGAAGAAGGGTGGATGCATCAGTTAGGACATAACCTTCTTCTGAAGGTTCAGTCTCTGAAACTTTTTGAAGAGAGAAGAAGCCCGAATAGGTGAGGAGTTTCATTAAGCGATAAATGTTTTGGGACCTGGAAGGGTGGATTTGTAGGGAAGAGATGAGAAGAGGAAGGGGCATGGGCTTGCCATGCTTGTGAATGATGTCAGGGATGTTTAAGTCTATGGCAGACTTGAGAGACATTGAGTTTATGAAGCTGAAAGTGTGGTTCCATATATGGGTTTGAGCATTAAGCAGTCTTGTTGCTGAATAATGCTCTTGGTTTTGGGGTTCCATGGCTTTCTGATTTACTGAGAGAAGCTAACCTAACCTAGATTATTGAACTGGATTTTTGGTGTGGATGATATACATGGAAGCTACCATTATATATACACATTCGGATCAAAGTATAGGCGAGCGATTGGACAGTCATAAAGTTTCTTAATTTATTGTGACATGTCCCTATCATATCAGCCTTAAACACCAAAGGTTTGGCCTCATGCAAAATGTGGAGGAGTAAATTTTAATACCACTCTGGTTCTTATCAGAAGACACTTTATAAAAGGATTGACCTTACACCCAATAAATGTCCGTTTTCTCTTCTCCAAAAAAAAGAAAAGAAAAGAAAATGCCATCTAAACAACAAAAACCCCCCCCCAAAAAAAAAAAAGCACCCTCTGCCACCACTGGCCGGATGATTAAAACATGTTGGCAAAAAGAAAATAAAAACAGAACGATAAACATCAATATTAACATTTGGAAATATTATACTATTTCCGATCTTTAATATAAAACCTCGTTTGACCTTTATTTCAGTCTTAAATATAAAACCCTAATCCTAAATATTTTTTTTGTCTTCTAATAATGGTAGTTCTAGCCAATAAACTTGATTAGTAAGGATATTTTAAGAAAGACAATACTTATTTATTATAAATAACTAACTTAACTTTTTTTTAGTCTGCTCAAATTAGTCAACCAACTCCTATATTTAAGACCGGAGGTAGTAGTAGTTTTCTTTCAATTGCAAGTGGGAGGAGCTGATCAGATTGTGTACAGTAATCTTTTGTTTTTGGTTAAATTTCTTTTCCCTCTTATCTGGTTTCATATAGAAGAGGGTAAAAATAGAAAATTCTGCATCGAACCTAAATAAGTAAATTAATTACTCCTTTAAATTTGACTTACTAATAGGTCTTCGAAAGATTTATGTAAACATGCGCAGATAAGTTGTAAATTTCTAAATTTTTTTGGACTGAAAAATATATATATCTATTACTCAAAATATCAAAGTAAGTTTAACCAACTCAAATTTCTAAGTTTAATTTGACTCATAAATATGATAGGAGAAATTGAAATTTATAAGTAACTTTTAAATTTAAAATTTTAATACGATATTTTCAACTATTGCAAAATTCCATTTTACTATTAAGGACCATTCACAATAACTTTTTCTAAAAGGTTAATTAATTACCAATTAAATTATATATGTTCCTATTATGTTTAAATATTATTAAGCTCATTTAATTTTCCCCTTTCTTTGCATGATTGAGGACTGGCGTGATCAATATGTAATCGTGTTATGTATGAAAATCATGGTGATTAACTTCTATAGTTCTAATCATATACTATGAAAGTTGAGGCGAAAAAACCACAAGTTTCTTGTGTGAAAGCTTCTGGCTAAAAGTTAAATCTTTATGGTGATTCGATCGTGCGCTTTGAAAAGGCATGTATAATTATAAAACATATATTATGTACCACAATATTTTAGACGATACTGTAAATAAATGAAACATTAAATAATCAACATTATTAAAACTTCCAAATTGCATAACCCAAAAGCAAAAATCCATCACAACCACTCGAAACAGGAAGTGTAGAGGGAGAACGCAACGGGAAGTAAGTATTTCTGTATGAATGTTGAAAATATTTTAAGAATTGCTTTTTAACTGGGCCTGACAATTAATTAGATAGCCGTATCAAAAAAATTTATAGTGATATTGTTCATGACTCGAGTTTTTTTCAGCAAACCTGACTCAAGTTATTTTGAATTATACTACCTTTAGTTCTAAATATGATAGCTAGTTGTTAGTCCTACATATAAGATTCTAATCCACTTTGTCTCTTAAATTTATAATGTGTTTTTAAAAATATCCTTATTGATTGTAAGATATTTTCATCCAAGTATAATTCTAATATACATGATTGAATAGGAGTAATTTAAGAAAGTTAACGCATATTTGTTACAAATAACTAATTTAATTAATTTTTTTAATATTATCAAATTAGCTATCTAACTCTTATATATCATATTAAGGACTGGAGGTAGTATGAAATAATTTTGGAGGACAACTGGATGGTACGATTCATAATTTTATAAAACGTGTGGGCTCATGTGTATTTCCAGAGGATTTGACACCACATAAAGTAATAAATCAATAATTGAAGCACGGCAAAAAGTAAAGGCACGTTAATTTGATGCTAAATTTGTCATGTCAAGAACCGGCCAATCAAATAAAGTTAAATCTTCGACCTGGATCAACCTAACTCTTACAGGTAAAAAAAAAAAAAAAATTTAGACACGATTATAAAATATTTAAAACTTGACTTATGCAAAAACAGGTTTTTGAAATCAAATATTTTTGTCCTTCGATTTATGTTGTTCTTACTTCCTTGCTTTTTTTAATATACTTTTTATGCTTTCCGATCAGTTTTTAATTATTTATTTTTAATGTTCTCTAAAAATTTTTTTAACAGTTTTTATAATATTTTTTATTTTAAATTTTATATTATATATAAATTATGCAAAGTATGTTATCTAATTAATTATGTAATATTATTTAGTTTAAAATTTTTCACATTACTATGATTTTTAATTTGAATATATTTTATTCATTAAATATAACTTTTTCTTATTATAATTTTAAATTATTATGTTTTGTAAATTTATATGTTTAATATTTTTATATTTAATAAAAATTATACTTATTTTGGTTATTTTACAAAACTAAACTTATTTATTCAGTCATAATCCAAACAATTATTTTACTTTACAAACTAATTTTATAAAAGTCAATCTAAACACAAATGATATTATCCAATCTAACTTTCATCTAATCTTACTTTTCATAAAATCAAATTGAAAATAAATTACTTCTTTATTAAAAAAAATTAAATTATTTTTTTATCAAACGGACTCATTGTTATCTAAGCCTCTCATGTGAACAGGAACATTGCTGAAAAGCATCTCTTACACGTAACTCCACTTCGTCCGCACACTTGTTAATAACCGATGACTCCAACCCGCTAAAGACGTCCTTGCAGTTGTTAATAACGATATTGGGTTTGAAAGATTGAAGATGTGAGGTTGAAAGTTTTTAAGTAATATTTTTCTTTTATTTTAGATATTATTTTTATTAAAACTTTATAGCCTCATTTTTTTTTTCAATTTTTTAATCAAACTCATTAAAAATTTTCTTCCATCCCCTTTCCTCCAATTTCCTTATACCAACATCCGCTCCTTAATATAAAAATTTATTTGGTTTTTATTTTGCTCCTATTTATAAGATCTCAATTCACTTTATTTTTTATATTTATTTATTTTTTCTCAATAGTAGTTTTAACCAATACATTTGATTAGTAAAGATATTTAAAAAAAAAGCAACACTTATTTATTACAAATAACTAACTTAACTAGTTTTCTTAATTTATTTAAATCAGTCAAGTAACTCTTTTATTAAGTACTGTAAGTAATATAAGACTAAGGGATTTTCCTTCAAAAGAAGGGTCGAAGTTATGGCGTATTACGAAGTTAACTTTATTGATGAAATGTAAATGAGAATGACGTTATTTGCTAATCTGTATGTCTTCATATAAATATATATTTCCAATTATCTATATATAAATCTATGCATCCATACGTGAACTAGCTAGATTCGTGTAACATATCTTTGACTTTTGTGTTAGATATATAAATAATTTACACAAGTATATACTCCTCCGATCCTTAATATAAGACCTATTTAACTCATTTGATTAGATTAAGGAAGTTAGGTAAGTTAGTTAATTATAAGAAATGTGATACGTTTTTCTTAAAATACCATAATCATCTTTCTTAAACCACATCTCTTTCTTCTACTAGATTATGGTTGAGACGGTATCTATAGGGGTAATTTAGAAAAAATTGATAACTATAATAAATGGGTCTTATATTTATGATTAAAACCAACTCAATAATTAGGTTCTACATTAAGAACCGGGCAAGTATCTTTTTCCTTAGCTTATAATTACTGGCAAGAAGTAGTCAGATAAAATAGAAAAAGAAAGCGGGGATAATTGTCAGATAGAAAACTAGAGCGAGGACTCAGTCAAAACCCAAAGGGATGTCATTAACAAACTACGAGACTTTGATGGATCATTCTTTTTCCCCTTTTTTTATTAAATTATGCTACGATAAAATGATCAGATATTATATTTGCAGTCCCAAGTCTACGAACATTGACCGTGGTTGAAATTATAACTTTAAGTTTTTACTAAACTAGTATTACGATAAAATTTAATTGAACCTAATTAAAATTAGAGTCACAATATAATGAGGAAAGATTATAATATTAAAATTTATATACTGAGTTTAATATGTAAAAAGCATGTCTTGCTTGTTAATGATTGATTAGCTTATATTGCTCAAACTTTTTTCTTTACATTAAACAAAATTATTTCATTCTAAGCTTCAGCTTTAGCGGTTGAGAGTGTGGGATTTCTAAAGCAGGTGATTGTTATATGTTAGAAAGGTTTCGGTCGTCAGGAAGGTACATATTTTTATAAATTTTCTCATAATTAATTAATGTCAATCTGATACATATATTCACTTTTTCACATTGGTATCAATAGAATTTTGAAGTATTTGTGCAATACATAATGTGCATAATTGCCGGAAAAAAATGCCTAATTTTATGTGGTATAAGAAATGATTACATCATTTATAAAATTTTCCGAACTGAAAAACATGATATGAGTTTTATAGATCCACGTCACAAGGCCGGCTCAGTGGACACAGACCGTCCTCTTTTAATTACAAAATTTAATTTGGCAAATGAGAAAATCGTCCCATGATTAGACTTAAAACAATAAAAACGCACTGTGGATACAAATTTGTTACTCTTATACACTACTCCGATTCATAATATACTTGACTAATTTGAGAAATTAAATAGGGTTAATATAATTGTTGGTAGTTAAAATTTGAACTTATTTTAGTTTTAGTTTCTCAAATTTCAAATCCATTTTGAGTCCTTGAAATTTAG